AACATTCTCCCAAGGTTTCAGCTTTCTAGATTTTCTCGTTCCCGAGTTAGCGATTTTCGCGCCAAAACTTTCACGTGCCTGTACGCGGGGCCCATACGTGCGTGAGGGTTGAAACTGCGATCCTGGGATGGTGCCTGGCTGGGGAACACACTGGCAAATTTCAGCTTCAAAGCTTGCGCGGTTAGCGAGTTGAAATACGCGGACGGACGAACACACACACACACACACACGCACACAAACATACACACACAGACAGGGTCGTTGCAATGTGCGTTTTTACTGCCTGTTGCAGCGCTCTGGCGCTGCACGGCGAAAACGCATAAAAACTGATAATCATGCATGATGGAGGTGTATACGGCTCCACCGTGGAACACCTTCATCTCCGTCGATCCTTTTTCCCATTATGAGAAAAAAGGCCAAAGCACAGCCAGTAAGAGTTTAAATGTTTTTAAACTGCAGCGCACGAACCATTCCTGCTATTATATTCTAGCGCAAAAGCGCATGGTCACTCCGGCAAGCCAAGTGCGCTGCAGTCTGGGTCTCTAATCAGGCATAAATAAAATGATGAAATGTCAATAAATTAACTTTGTCCTAAGCTCTGATATCCGATTATAGGTTGTTTCGTTCAGGAAAATGAAAAGCAAGGGGGAAGTATGCAGCCACAGTATAAAGCCGAGTGAAAAGAGATATGCTGTTAAGGGATTCCTGTGAAAAGCTCAATTAAATTACCTGAACGCCAAATGCAAATCCTTCGAGACAGGAGTGAAACGAGAAGGCAATTACTAACGTCAGCGATTTTCTATAGAAATTATGGGTTTGGACCTGTTGCTTTCCTGCTTCCTGCACCACATTCTCACTGCTCGAATGCTCACCATTTGACCTTTGCCTAAAACCACACAACGATTTTCATTACCCCGGTTTCGTAATTTGAAAAAGTTTTTTTTAACGTTTTTTGAGCTGAAATTTTAAACGGGTCCGTTGATATGTGTATTAAATAATCTTGCTAATGGGATAAGTAGTCATTTTTCGAGACTGCTTGTCATTTTTACTTACTAATTATTAGAAAATATCCAGGAATACTAAGGACGCCTGGGTATCGCATGTTAGTGATGTTACGAGAATGCTTCCACAAATCGGGCATATTTGTGCCAGGCTCTTCTATCCTAGCATCCATCTTAGCATCCACCACCATAAAAATAATTGATCTCCATCTAAAACTTACGAATTTTTGTTATTTTAAAATGCTAGCCAAAAAAAAAAATCATTATTTCTAACGCATTTTCCCCAAAACATAGTAACAAAGACATGGCTGGTCGCACAGACTTTCTCAGGATTACCTTTGGAAAAATTCAGACCATATTAATTCGTCAACATGTGTTTAAGAATTTCTGCAGAAGAGAAAAAGATGATATCGTAAGGAACTGAATATTGTACTCGGTCATGTCATCCTCGTTATTGCTGTGCTTGCACCCGTTCTCCTTCTGCTCGAAGCTGGCATGGCTCTGGTGTCCACATAAGTTGTTGCAGACTACCTCCACCAGGTATATCGCGAAAAAGCCAGTCGCAATAAGCAGTTCGTTAAACGGATAGTTCGTTTTCCAAGCATTCTGTTCCTTCACTTCATTGAATGCATCGCTGAATTACATTGTTAACACATTTCATGCTTTTTTTGACTGGAAGATTGAAGTTTTAAGAGGATACTCCCTGTAAGTGCAATTTAAAGTTTTCAAATTGACTTCCTAAGTACGCCTGATTCTTAAGTAGAGAAACACGCAAACTATCTAAGTATGCAGAACAGCCGAGTCATTTTCAATGAACCATTAGTCAACGGAAATTGTTTATTTTTCTTCATACAAAACTTGCAGTGATTTACGGTAATGAGTGCACAAGATAAATGTAAAGCAACAATCTTTTATACTATTAATAACCTAACTGTTTTGAGTTTGGCGTAAAAATACACGTCCGCACGCCTGATGAGCCTGATGCGTTGCAGCCTAGTTCATTTGTAATTCCAATTGTCTACTCGTAACCGGGTATGTGCAACAACCCACTTATGTTTCATCCACTGGGCAATTGCTTGGGACTATAAATGAAGAGAAACACTTTCAGTCTGTTGCTGCAACGTACGCTGGGAAAACCAGTTTCGGGCTATGCTAAATCGCAAAACCTTTTCTTGATTTGCAAGGTGCCGCTCAGTTATTGACAAATCAGAATAAAAAGAAAATTAACTTCGTTGTTGGCAGCAAATCCAGCAAGCAAACACCCAGAAATACACCTCCAGAAAAGCAGGAAAGTATAGAAAGCAAGCGAGAAGCGAACTTTTGAGACGACGACCTGGCCATTTGTTGCTTTTCAATGAATTTATAAATCTGTAATTCATTTTACCTATTTTTTGTACGATTTTGTTAATTCTAATAATGAACAACAAGATCTGCTACCGATGTACCTCGAAAAGCCGACGTGCATTGAAAAGTTAATGTCAGGAAATATATTCAGTAAGCATAGGAACTGATGATGCAGTCGCTAGCAAGTCACGTCCGGATGAGAAGACGAGTGGTCTGATTTCCTTTGATTCATACTCATTCACAAAAGGCTTTGTCTACCAAAATACCCCCTCGGCTGGGCACATCCATTCAACGCATAAATCACAAGAAGGCAAAATAATACTTAGTGCCAGCATGCCGCAATGATCAAAAACAGCATATATCGCATTTCTTTAGATAAAAATGAGCGAAACAAAACTATTTCAGCATATCACATTCCTCAGCAAGTGTCGTTCAAAAAGTGAATTTGAAAGTCTAAAAGCTTGAGTGCTTTGAGTTCTTTCTATCAACAGTTTGTTCTGAAAAACACGTTTCCACATTGATTAGATCCTCTAAATGCTGTGAGATGAGCACACGACATAGGGTTATCCTTCATTTTATTGTCAGTAACGAATACTGCTGCTAAGCGAGTGCATTTCTAACAAAACAATCGATTGCTTGACTTCGAAACACGGATACATTGAAGATCATTGACTATGGCGAGTGGAGGAAGTAATCCGTGATCGGAACCTCAAAACAACTATTTTTAATATTGGCACAATTCACCAGTCCCAAGGCTCCACGTTGTGAATTTCAACATTTTTCACAATTTTGAACAAACATATGTGTGACCCTACAATTCGACCTACTCCCTCCTCTCACTAATCCTTAGCACTTCGACCGACTTCCCTCCTCTCACTAATTTCTAACACTTCCACCATATTCAAAATAATTCCATATTACCTACTTTCTCACTTATTAGCTGCCTTTACCCTCCTCCCTCCATTAATTTTCTCTACATAAACCCTTTCCGAAAACCTTACTCTCTTGGCCTCAGAATCAACGGACGCCACTAGTCTACCACGTCTTGCGAAGACTAACGCTACTAACTGGCCGCCTCGACACCACTAGCGTTCTCCTTCCGCTGAATACCTTGTGCGGCGTCCCGGCTCGTTTTTATTGAAGTGAATCTTTACTGGAGAAAAAAATTCTGGCACTCTTCACTGTCTTCCGTTACTACAAAAACCATGTGAGGACCTAACATATGCTCATCTTGAGTGCGCACTCTGCCCATAGTACTGTGCTCTGTGTTTTAAATGAAGAAAATGATGTTCAGAGCGACGAACCTTCAAGGGTATGAGGCCAAATAACAGAGCGGCAATGGCCATTGCGGCCAGGTAAACGATTTTCATCAACACAACGGACATTGCATCCAAAAAAGGTCGCAGTACAATAGGCTACAAACTGAAACACATTCCGAAAATTATTAAACATTTTCTGTTATTTCTCGAGAGCCATAAATTTTTTATGACACGAGTATAAGCGGCTTCGACTTATTGCTCTTGCTACCTGCATCAGCAAACAGAGAATCATTTCAACCGGTATAATACTTATTATCTGAGTACCACTTTTTTCCTTATTTTTAAAAATTTTAAGCTTTAATTCTTCCTCTGATGGCCAAAAGCGCGCTAAAGGTGGTTGCTGTTATACCATGTTTTAATCGCACAGGGTAAAATTTTTTCAAACGAAGAATACGAGATTATAACAACACACGCTTTTTGCAAATTCTCCTCACAATCTCCCCCGCTCCCTCCTCCTTTCTCTTTTCTTCAAAACCAAAAAATAGTTCAACAAAAAAAAACCCAAACTGATCGAAAGGGAGTCCAACTTGCATTTCATTTACCACTTAAGGGTGTTTTCTTTGTTACATCGCTCTTTCTGTATGGCCGGCCTTCTTCCACAACTATCACTACTAATCACATTTCGCATCTGTGCATTATTGCCTTCGGTAGAGAGGTTCTGAAATGGTACTGGCATTTGCTAGAGAGCCAACCTCGCTCTCAGTTTGGTTACAAATATTTCTCAAAAGAGGAAGCCGGTGGCAGCCTTACTAGCCACTGTTTGTCATTGGCAGATGCTACTCTTGCAATACTTTGGAGTGCCTCTATCTCTCACATCAAATGAGGAGGGATATTTTGACTTTCACTGATTAAAACGATTAAATGACGAAGTTTGTCAAAAATATCCTTTCTTCACCACCACAATTTTGTATGAAAATTTCAGGGATGTTTCATAACAGTAACAAACCGATACTGGATAGTAAACGTCTGAAAGGAACATTAGATTCGAGGCATGGCAATCGCAGTGAAGAGCGCAGCATGCTTTGAGCAAAGCAAAGATTTTCCAAGACCAAAAACAACAGAATGTTTGTGCATATGTGATCATTCTGGGATAGCCCCGCAGTCACAACAGCAAAGGTGCATTCGCTAGTTGAAAGCAGCGAAACTGAGAAGCGATGGAAGATTGTTCCGAGCGGAATAGTTATGCTTTTGATATTCAATGATGCAGCGAATGGAATAGTTATGCCTTTTGATATGATGACCAATTTTGTGAAATTAATTAATGAGCGGGCCGGTGCATGCTAACATATAACAAAAGTGCTTTTGGAAGGAATGGAAAAGCATATACAAGGGGGAGAGAGAAAGGAAAGAGAGGGATGGAAGGGGCGGGGGACGCGGGGAAGGAAAGGGGGGGGG